CTCCGCGGCGGCTGGGAGCCCAGCAGCATCAGTTTCAAAGGTGCAACCTCCCAGTCTCTGCCAGCAGCGCGTAGGGGGCTGAGGGAAGCGGAGCCAGCCAGGAGCGATCTGCCCAATGAGCTCTGCACACACACACACACACACACACACACACACACACACACACACGCACAAACTGTGAGGATGAGTACACTTAGTCACAGGCACCCCAAAACCCATGGCCCAGCTGCTGGTCCAGAGGAGAAAGAGGATCTTTTTTATTTTTATTTTTCCTCCCAGCTTGGAGACCTCCCTTATGGCCACAGACATGCTATCGTCTTGGCTGAAGGGGCCCCTAACCCTACATGGCCTCTCAAAGTCACTGCTAGGAGCTTCCTTAGCCTAAGACCTTTAAGACAAAGCCTTGAAGGACAGAGAGAAAAAAAATCTCTGGGCCCAGGACAGTCTCCTCTCCTCCCTCAACACACATTCTCCCCAAGATGGCAGCACCCTGCTTCCCCAGGGACCCTGAAGCCAGCACAGTGTGGGTGAGAATGGCTTTGCGCTGGACAGTTTCTCCCCAGGCCACTTAACTGGCTTCACTGATGGGGAACAGGGTATCAGTGGGGCTTGGAAATCCAGCAGACATCTTATTCCACTCCCAACAATGCTCCTCCATGCCTGGCAGGTGGAAACAGATGAAAACCAACATTCAATCCTGTCGCCAAAAGGCAGCCAAGAGGGTAGAAAAGGGATAGGCAACTCGCTTGGAAGAGAAGCATAGGCACCCATATAGGACTCCAAGCCTTATTCTCCAGTAGGCAGAGAATTTCCTTACTAGGCAAGTGAAGACCTGGGTGTACAAAGGAAATCCAGATGAGGAGAAAATTGCCCACAACTCTAGAAAAGATGAAGGGCCTCCCCAAATTCAAGGACAGCTGTGGCTGGTGGTCCACAGCTCTAGAGGACCTAACCTGTCTGTCAGTCAGGGCCTGGCTGCCCACAGGCTGGCAGGAGGGAGCAGCAGAGCTGCTCTGGAAGTGCCTGCCATCAGGGAATCCAAAGAAGCTCCTAGAAGAAAAAGGTTCAAGAGATGCCGGCACCAGATGCAGGCTGTCATGGGCAATGGTGGTGAGAGACTGGTAGACTCCACAAGATTAGAGCCCTATCATCCACCTGGTACCCAAAGCTCAGGGTTTCTTTGCTTTTTTTTCCTACTGGATGAAAAGGGTACAGTATCTCTACTATCATAACATAATACTGTGGTCAGTATGTCATCGCTAACATGGCTGATTTTACTGGCTTTTGACAGTTCCTTTGAAAGTATGCACACAGCCTGTGTGTGACCTCCGTTGTGGGATGTGAGCTCCCAAGCATCAATTCACTGACTCAGGAGGGCCTTTGTCAGGTGTCCTTGCTTGGCCTGTTATGAGAGAACTTCCCAGAGGTTAGGCCAGCATCTGAAAGGGCACTTGCCTCTCCCCTCTTCCTGAAAACTCCAGCTCCTCTGACGGCCTTCTGTTTGGACAGAGCAAATCATTCCCAGGTGCCTGCTGCTTTGTTTATCCCTTTTTAGCTGGAGCTCTGTTTACACTTGGGCTCCCTCTCTATCACCCTGGCACAGAGTCTACCCCTACCTACCCCCTTTCTCTGGCTTCCTCACTTTGGAGCTTTCCTAGCACCTGGCACTTAGTAGGCCTGTCACAGGCGGCACTCAGACTTGAAGACGCCTGGTCTCCAGTCTTCTGCTCCAGCAGTGCCTCCCCAGGTCCATGACCTCAAAGGCTGCCCCCTAAGCCAAGGACCCATGTGGGGAAGGAAGAGAGTGTTGATTAACCAAGCAACATGCCCTGGGGTCCTCAGAGTAGCAGGGGTGTGAGGAGGGGTGGGCATGGGGGGGGGGTGCAAGAGCAGCTACGCTTATAGCTCCTGAGAGCCAGCCCCTATCCTAGAAACTTCCAGACTGGCCTGGACAGTGAATCCCAAGCAGGCCCTGAGCCAAGTTGTCACTGCCTGGCAAAGCCTGGCCCTTCCTTTGAAGGGAGGGAAGGAAGGAGGGCCCCCTCAGATCCAGGACAAAGGCTCCCCCACCAGCCCATCACGGGAGGCCCTGCCCCAACAGCCAGGCAGCTCCCCAACTTGGCTCCCATCCCTGGTTCCTCTACCCCAGAACCTGGCGGGCTCCCCAATTTGGGAGGCAGCCTGCCATGAATGAGCGCAGCTCATTAGTGTTCTCAGCACATTTACTCGTTAAACAACTGCCTGGCCAGCCACACGCCCCCACCCCCACCCCCACCCCTGCCTTTGCTTTTTCAGTTTCCTCTCCCATGTCCCTCCCTCTGTTGGGCTGACCCCCTCCCCACAGCCCAGGCCACCTGCTCCCTCGCACCGGTGGGGAGGAGCTGGCCTGACGAATTGCTTCTACCAGGCATGCTCCACCCAACCAGCTCTGCCCGTGGTCACCAGCAGGGCAACCCCCAAAGGGACACTTGAGGTCAGAACTCACCATCCCAGTGGTGTGAACCTCCACGGAGACCTTCAACTATGCGTGGTGGACAGTCGAGGGCCACCTCCTACCTGGGATTCCAACAGAAAGCACCCTCCTTCCTTCTGTACACGGACCTTCCCCCAGCTTCACCAGCTGTTTCTAGGGTGCCAGGATGAGAAGAAGCAGAAGGCATGGTAGTATGGATTTCCAAACTGCAAAAGGCAAATGAATGTCTGCCATCCAGGTGATGTCCATACCACTCATTGTGTATCCATGCACAGTTACACTGTACTGGGAATCTGTAATTCATCAGAGAATGAGAACAGACCTGGCTCTCAGTGAGCTGCAGCCCAGTGAGGAGATGGAAAAGAAAATAGGAAAACCTGTGAGCATGGTTAAGTGTTGTAGGAACAGATTAGAGGAATGTAGGCAGGGACCCAGGGCAAGGTCTGGATGGCTGATAATAGTAAAATCATCACTGACAGGTCTCCCACCACCTCAGCAGCTATTATGTATAGTGGCTGCCCTCTTCCTATCGTGCCTTGCCCCCTCCCCGTGTGACGTCATGCCAAGATGGTTGCTCCCACCAAAGAACAAACCCTTCTTCCCAGCATGTCCCTGGTCCCACCTAGGGAGTAACCTAATACTCGCTCACCTGCTACCACCTAGTGACATCACCGGCTCCTCCATTCCCTAGTCACTACGTCACTCAACCCCACCTCAGCCCCTACAAGCCCCACCCCAGTCTCTATAAAAGACTCTCCCTGCCCTGGCCATATTGCTTTTGTCTCTCCTTTGTTCAGAGACAGCCCGGCAGATCTGTTCCCTTAATAAAGGCTTGTTGTGGTCTGGTCTTGGTCTTCGGCACTTTTACCTGACAATCACATGCTCATCTATGGATGCTGATTGTAAAATTATCACATGCTATCATGTACTATGTGCTTGAAAAACTGTACCCTAGGGCCCAGGATTTAGCTCAGTGGTTTTCCTGCTTGCTGTGCAAGCGCAAGAACCCGAGTTCGATCCCCGGTACCAAAAAAAAAAAAACTGTGCCCTATCGTATCCTTTATGAAAGTGTTACTTACATTTACTGTATGCTGACCTTGTCCCCTTCCCAGAAACAAAGGCCTAGCCCACCACAAAACAATTTGCCCCTGTAAGTATGAACACATCTCATACTCACCCAGCATCCTGGTCAGGATACTCGCTATCTGGCAGCACCACTCTGCTGCTAAGATAGTTTCTTTTTTGCTTTCTCTGTATTTGCCACACTTAAATAACTTTTGCTTTGCACTATACCAGTCTTGATTCTCCCATTTCTCACTAAGAGCCCCACCTCTCCATTCTTCACTGGAGTAAGGCAAGGACCAGAAGAGAGGCAAAGAGAGGTGGAGGGTCACTCAGAGACTGCCGCCCCGCCCCCCCCCCCCGACACAACAGTGTGATGACAAGGAACACAGCATTGCAGGGAACCTGGGGGATGACACAGAGCAGGCTGGAGGGCACCTCACAGGGGGAGGCCTCCAAGTGAGTCTAGAAGGATAACAGACATTGGAGCAGAGGGATGGGCTTGCCCAGCAGACAGGACTGCAGGAGGTAAGGCACACAGACCAAGAGCAGCTCCTCAATGCAGGGTCCAAGTAGGAAACGTGGGAGGCAGTGACAGAGGAGCCCTGGTGCAACTATTTTTGGCTTTTCTGGGTGCTCAGTATCATTTGACCTCTCCCTATACTCAAATGCATGTCTGTATACATATGTGCTTGGACATGTACTGTCTCTGAATCCAATGTGTCTGGAACTTGAGAGGTAGTTTCAGAACTTGCTTCCTTTCTACTATATGGGGTTTTTACCCTATATAGCTTCAGTCCCCAGCCTTTTTAGCACCAGTGACCAGTTTTGTGGAAGACAAATTTTCCAAGAGGGTGGGGGTGCTTTTTGAATGATTCAAATGCATTACATTTATTGTGCACTTTATTTCTATTATTGCACTGTAATAATATAATGAAATAATTATACAACCCACCATAATGCAGAATCAGTGGGAGCCCTGAGTTTGTTTTACTGCAACTAGTCTGCAAGTGGCCCTCCCTTTATTTTATTTACCTTTTCTGTCCTTGCTTCTTTCCTGCCTGCTATACTTGTCTCAGTCACACTTTTGGTTAGCCACAAGCTAACAATAATACCTAAAGTGAGTTCGTAGGTCTAGCCTACAGTCTTGTTTTGACTGCTGTCACTGGAGAAATCCTGCTTCACAAAGATAGGATGTTGGAAACAGAAACAGGGTTTTCAGTGCTTTTGTGGCAATCTCAGACTATTCCACCTTAACTTTAATACAGAATTTATAGAAATCTAAGGTTGAGTTTTGAGTTTAAAAACAA